CTTATTTATTTCTGTATATTACTGAGGTTCTTAAATATTTTCCATGATCTTTTTCCTTTTCCATTAATGGGTTTAATAATAATTAAACCTAACTCAACGTATTCTGAATTAATTTAAATTCAGATAATCTAAAAAATGATGAGGTGTCTTCAAATTAAGCAGGAAATACTGCAATAAACAAAATTCAATTTTTAAAATGAAAAGAATTAGTGGGGTGTCCGGTGCATTAATATTAGGTGTGGCTAGAAATATGAGCTTAAGAGTTCAATTATTTTCATTATGTTTAAAGTTTTAAAAATTGTTGTAACTGGTCTTACAATCGTAGGTGTAATTAGTGTAGGAGTAAATGTATTTGCTGGAGTGCTTTTGGGAAATTGTGAGTTTTCTGAATTTTTTGGTCCTTACTTTCCCTTTTTAATTTCTGTTATAACTTCTTCTAATCTTTCTCTTTTATTTATGAGTGCTCCACTGATAAGTAATATATCTAAACCAAACCCTGAAGATAAGTCAATTTTAAATCCTTATTTTATTACAGGGTTAACGGATGCGGAAGATTCATTTTCTGTTAATAAAGCTATAGATGTATTTGTTTCAAATAATCATAGAACAGAACAAGGCTTAAGTGAATTAGATAAAATTCATAAAAGTATGAATTCATATAGAAAACTTTCAATCTTTTCTTATACTCCACCTGCTCATTTAATTGAAGGCAATAAAGCTTATATTCCTATAAATGGACATTATATTAATGGATTTTTAGCGGGATTCTATTGGTTTAAGTTTAACTAGTACAAACTTTTGTTCAATGAATTTATCGTTTTCTCAACATGTTCTTAATCGACCACTTATGGAGTCTATTGCTAATTATTTTCAATCTACTAATAAAATCTATCCTCATGGTCCTAATTCAATACAGATTACTTTACGTGGTAATAAATTATGGGATAATATTATATTTAAACATTTTTCTGAATATCCTTTATACGGAAGTAAAACAGAAAGATTAGGAAAGCTGTTTGCAATTAAAGAATTTCTTTCCAGTGATGACCACTTAATGAAGGTTGGTAGAGCTCGACAATGAAAACTTGAAGCTAAACAGCGTGTCATAGAGATTTGATCTTCTTAGAGGAAGTGTTTTTGCTTTTGTCTGATTCCTTTCTTCCTTTTTATTTAGTTGTGTATTATTCTTGTACGTTTCTGTTTACTACTGGGGTTCTTAAATCTAGATACATTTAATTTTTACTCGGCATTTTCCGAAGTTAAGGATATTTATGTAATAAGCGGGCTGGTTAACCATAATTCTGCGTGGCTCATTGCATTGCAGCGCGCACCTAGCGTATATCCGATAGATTCACTTTTTATTCTTTCTCAAAAAAGAAAAATTGTCAACAGAGAATAGTAATAATAACTATATTCTGGATTTAAAAAAATATGATGAGGATTATAAAAAGAGCGAATCTTTTTAATGGAGATTATGTAAGTAATAATACTTAGTTATGGTACTTTAGTTAAAAATACTGGAGGAACTTATTTAAAACTTGCCCAAAGTATCATTAATATGTTCGCTAAATTGAATAAATGTAATATGACAACTCCTTCTTTAAATATAGCAAAAGTAAAAAATAATTCTTATCAGTATTTACATTTCTCTACTAAGTCTTATAAAGAATGAAATGAGCTATATAATTTATGGTGTAAAGATGGGGAAAAAGTTATCCCTAAGGATGAAGTTATTGAATAAATCTTAACACCAGTAAGTCTTGCTCATAAGAGTTAAAGCTATTTTTGCTATAGGTTTACATAAAAAACAAAATTGAGAACATTATATAAAGATAATAATTGTATAGTATCCCTTGCCTTTCTCAAAATTGCGCTCACTAATTTAAATGGTGTAGTCGAAAAAATAGTTATCACTCTTAGATTTTTACATTAAAGGGTTTCAAAATTAAAAAAGGAATGAACACAGGGCGTAGTTAATACTTAGGGGGATGAACTAAGAAAGGGATTCATTTAGCTACTAATGCATTTAATAGAGAGGATGTAAATTGATTAGCAACAGTTCTCAATAGAAAATTTGGGTTAAATAGTATAGTACATAATACCGGTAATTTACCCGTAAAATCTGCACAAAATGTTTGTGAGATAGTTACTCCATTTATGGAAACTGATGTACAAAGTAGATCAAAACATTAAAACCTAAATTAAGTAGTAAATTGCTTGTAGAAGTAAATTAAATATTTTATGAACCGGTCCGGCGTAAGCGTCTCTTAGACTAATTGAGGGACTGGCCACTGGGCTTAAGTAGTATCCTTATCAAGGTGGTTTTGTTCTTGTTGCTGTAAATAATTAATTCTTATATGTTGATTATCTATTTTTAGATATTAATAAATTTAATGCCTTAGGTAGAATAATCTGGGAAAGTAGAATTAGCGGAGGTACTTTACATTATGCGCGAGGGATGGAGCGTATAGGGCATAGTCTGGCTTTTTGTTTGTTTCTGTGTACGTCTTGGGGTTAGTAACTTTGCCGCCTCCTTTGGATTATATTTTTTGCTTTTTGGGTTTAACGCAAGTTAAACCTAATCCTACTTTAATGTCTTATCTGACTTAAAAAATAGAAATCATACTTTAGTTAGTGAAACTAAACGTGATTTAGAAAAAGCAAATAATGATCCTACTAGTGAGTTATATCTAATGCAAGTTATCACTTCCTTATCCCCCCCCTTTGCGAAGCATGTAGAAGGGAGGTTTTTATGTTCATTGCATTTTAATAATCGGATTTACTTACCAGTTAGATTTACTGCTTCTTTTTGTAAATTGGTTGATCCTTATGTGGAATCTGGAATGTTATAAAAAAAAACCAAACATAAGTAGTATCATAAAATAGTTAATTATTTCTTGCATTAATTGGGGAGGTTAAATAAGTGGTGGAACCTCACATTGAAGCGCTAATAAAATATTATTTAAAACTATTGCGATAACAGGCTTGGATTTTTAGATATAGTTTTATTATTTATATATATTATTGGGGTATATACCACCTTCATCTCTTGGAGAAGGAACGGATTATTTTCTTTGCTTAGTTATGGGGTTTACAATAGTTAAACTTAACCCTAATGGGGTTTTCCCAGCCTCCGACAGGGAGGGGGTCAATAGAGTAATAAAAATAATTATCTTATTAACGCTTATATTCTTTACTGTATTATTTAGGGTTAGCCTTCACCTATCTTAAGCGGTCTTCATTTCTTAAAAATTGTTTTTTAGCGGAGCGACGGAGTGTAGGCTATTTTTATTTAACCTTTATTACAATTTATTTGCTGTTACTTATTATTTGTAATAAAAACGATACATAAACTAAATTTTTATTAATTTTAACTTAAAAGTTTGGCATTATTCATTTTCTTATTTCCTGAGCTTTACGGAACAGGGAAAAGCAAAGCAGACTTTTATTTGTTCATTTCTTGAGGATCGTAATGGATTTTTTTATTCTACGGTGAATTAAGTACGGGTCTTTTACTAATGAGTGTTCGTAGTGGTCTCCATTTATTCTAATACCACTAAACCTAAAGACGTAGATGTTGAATCTAGGTATATTACAAAAAATTCCAATACTGGTCTCACTATAAGCAAATTCATCCGCAGGTCGTATGGATATATAGTGGAGCATGCTTAATCGAAGTTTAGATTTCATGTACTATATGGAGTATGTATGCTGGGCCTATGATAAATTATGGATTTCGAATAATCCTAGCAGATGTTAAATACCCTCATCCTTCTAATTTAATATTTGATATAATAGCTATGCATTTTTTTAACAAAAAAGTTCACATATTTTTAAAATGCCTCAATTAGTTCCTTTCCACTTTATCAATCAAGTTTCTTTTGCTTTTATATTATTAACAACAATTATTTATATATTTTCTAAGTTCATATTACCTCGTTTTGTCAGGTTAAGTCTTTCTAGAATCTTTATTATTAAACTATAGAAAATAAAATTCTTCTTTCATTTCTTGGGGGGGTTCTTATATACTACAGCTTTAGTAATCTGAGATGTAAACTTATCTTCAATTGTTGGTGTTAGCTAAGGTAAAACTACTACCCATATCCAATAAATTATTACAGGATTATTATTGTATGATGAGTGTATTACTTTTCTGATACTCGGAGCAAGAATGCTTAGTTGGTGGCGGCTTGGATTATTCTTTGCCAGCTCGCACAGTTTGCAGTTCATTCTTAGTTACGGGGGCGCTTATTTAAGCACCCCATTTTTATCTCATTATTGTGCTAGTTACCTAATATATTTATAAAACAGTAAGATTAGTAGGGGAATCGTATTATACGTTTCTAATTAGAACTCTATCGATGCCCTGTTTAACTTAATTACATTCTCTATTTTATCTTGATGTAATTAAAGTAATTTCTATGCGAAGCAAAGCTCCTGTCCCCTTCTCAAAGAGATGAGTTGGATTAATCCGAAGGCCACGCTCCGAGGTAAATATAACAAAATATTTACGAACTTTTAACTCCCATAGTTCATATGATAATGAGAGTGGGGTCCATTTGCTCCGTAAGCCAATCCAAATAATTAATGTAATTAATTATAATTTTTCTTAATTTGTAGTAAACTACAAAAATAACTCATTTCTCTCTCGGGGGTAGGGAGTTATTAAAATATATATCAAATAAATTAATTACAAATCCTTTTTAAGATTAATTTATTAAGCCTTGTAATAAAAAAATTCTAAAGTTTCTACTAATAATATTCAAATATATAATGATAGTTTTTTATTTATTAAAATTCCATTAATTATATTTATAAATGTTAAGGTTTATATAATTATTCTAGATCTTATAATGGCAATTAGTCGGTAAGCTTTTGAAATTAATCATAAAGCTGCTGAATGTTAATTAGATCAATCTCCCAATCACCGCTTAATAGCAAGGGAATAACTAATTTTTAATTAATAAAACCAACTAAAGTGAAAATAGTAAAAATTAAAAATGTTTCAATTATTGTTAAATTACATTCATGAGTATTGTGATGCTCCTCGACCTTGGGGCTTGTATTTCCAAGATAGTGCTTCACCACAAATGGAAGGGCTAGTTGAATTACATGACAACATAATGTTTTATCTAATTATAATTTTATTTGGTGTAGGTTGGGTTCTTGTTTCTGTAATTACAAATTACAACAGTGTAAAATCTCCAATATCACATAAATACTTAACGCACGGTACTTTAATCGAATTAGTCTGAACAATTACACCTATTTATTAAAATCTTATAATTGGGTAAAACTGCCAAACTCCGGGGAAGTCTTAGTAATTTCTGATACCAAGCAATATCCGAAAGGTTATTTGTGGCTGAACTAATCACTCAGGGTATGGTAACAAGTCAGAAAGATTTCATTTTTGAAATGGAGATAATCGCGGATCTAAGTCAATTGCATAATTATTTGTTGCAATTGTAAAAGAGCAACGAGTAGACGGTAGTTACATTGTCTGAAATTTTCATTAGGTTGGTTAATGGTTATTATACTGCTTAATTAGTCAATATTTTTATAAGATTATGTTAAGGTGTACTCTATGGAATATACATAATTTCAGAATATAAATATATTTGAAAAAAAAAATACTTTTAATTCTAAAACAAAAAGGCTTTTTAAAAGATCTTACTCTAGTTTAGCTAAATCTAACACTTTAACAAATAAAGTAACTAATAATAAATCTAATATGAATCCTTGGTTTGTTACCTGGACTTACAGACGCTGAATGTTCATTTACTGTTAGTGTCTTAAAAAGTTCTTCTACTAAAACTGGTTGAGATGTTAATGCTAGATTTAAAATTACTGCGCATATCACCGATTTAGATCTTATGTTAAATCTTAAACAATTTTTTTGTGAAGATATAGGAAAAATGGTAATTTTTAAAGATACTTGTACTTACTGTGTGAATAAGTTAAAGGATATTTTGGAAATTATTATACCTCATTTTGATAAATATCCACTTGCAACACAAAAGTTAGCCGATTATATGCTATTTAAAGAAATAGTTAGTTTAATGAAAAATAAAGAACATTTGACATTAGACGGCTTAAAAAAAATTATATCCTATAAAGCTTCATTAAATTTAGGTTTATCAGAGAAATTAAAAGATAAATTTTCAGATATAGAAGCTGTAAAAAGACCTTTAATAATAGATAAAGATATACCTTCACCATTCTGAGTGGCTGGTTTTACTACTGGTGATGGAAGTTTTTACTTAATTATTCGGGCAAACAAATTAAATGAAATACCTCGAACAGACATAGGGTTTTCAATAGCTCAACATTCGAGAGATATGCTTTTATTAGCAAAATTTATTACTTTTTTTAACTGCGGTAGAATAAAAAAAGATTCTAGATATTCTGTACACTATTATGTAGTTACTAATATTAAGGATATTACAAACAAGATCATACCTTTTTTTAATAAGTATAATACTAAAGGTGTTAAATCTTTAAATTTCGCAGATTGACGTGAGGGAGCTGAAATAATTAAAACTAAGACTCATCTTTCTAAGGAAGGAGTCGAACATATTCGTACTATTCAAAGTAGAATGAATAGTAAAAGATCCCAATTTAATACTTAAAATATTTGTAGTATTTATATATTTTTTTTTTTTTTAATTTTAGTGTATATATTATAATATTAACTTACAACATGAACAGTAAAGATTTATGTTTATTATGTTACTTTGAACAAGATTGTATTGCAATGTATAATCGTATAGCTAAGTTATTCATAATTAGCCTTAATAATATTGTTACTTTATTAGAATAGTTAAATTATTATAATTCTATTTCATTTAATTTATTAGCTATTCTAAATTATTATATTACATGGCTTTAATATTAATATTAATAGCTTTTCCTGCCGAATGATTTAGGAAATTATTCAAGAGGGTAAAACTATCAAACTTCGGAAATACCCTAAAGCTTCTGGTACCAAGCCATTGTCGAAAGACAATGAGTGGATGAAGTAATTACTCATGTATGGTAACAAGTCAGAAGATAGATGAAAATAAAATGGGTTATCGCGAATCTAAATCAGTATGCTTTACGATTTTTAAAAGTACTATTGTAAAAGAACAACGAGTATACGGTAGTTGATGTATTACACCTATGCATTTAAGATATACTCTAATGGGTTTCGAAAGAAATTATCAAATCAAAATCCTTTCTAACCAAATAAATAAATTAAGATTTTATACTTCCCTAACGGCCTTAAAGCCTAAAATTAAACTAGCGCTTGATTCTTGGTTTTTAACAGGATTCGCAGATGGCGAATCTTATTTTTCAGTTAGCCTTTATAGAAAAAATAAACATAAATTAGGTTGAGGTGTACAAACTAGTTTTGGATTGGTTTTACATAAAAAAGATTTACCAATTTTATATTCTATAAAATCATATTTTAGAGTAGGTAATGTTTATTCAAGGAAAAGCGGTACTTGTGTTTATCTTGTACAATCTATTAAAGATTTGGCTGTTATAATTAATCATTTTGATAAGTATTCATTAATTACTAAAAAACAAGCTGATTATCTTCTATTTAAGATGGCTGTTAATTTAATTAACAATAAAGAACATCTAACTATGGAAGGATTACAAAAATTTGTAGCCATTAAAGCATCTATAAATCGAGGTCTTCCATTAAATATAAAAGCTGCCTTTCCAGATAATATTCCAATATATAGACCTGATGTTTTAGACTATAAGATTAAAAATCCTAACTGATTAGCAGGTTTCACATCAGCTGAAGGATGTTTTTTTGTTAACATTAGATCTAAACCTAAAATGAAAATAGGATATTTAGTAGAATTAAGATTTCAAATAACTCAACATTATAGAGATGAGGAATTAATGATAAGTTTAATAGAGTATTTTGGATGCGGGAATGTTTACAAAAATCGTGATACGGTAGAATTTAAAATTACCAAATTTGAAGACTTGACGGAAAAAATCATTCCATTTTTTGAAAAATATCCTATTCAAGGTGCAAAATTTTTAGATTATTTAGATTTTGTTAAAGTTATAAAATTAATGAAAAATAAAACTCATCTCACTGAAGAAGGATTAGATCAAATTCGTAAAATTAAAGCTGGCATGAATAGAGGAAGAAAATAGGGAAATACAATTTAAGTTTATTTATTTGCATGATAAATTTGACCGCTATGTCATTCAAACTATTATACCTAATGGATTAAAAACTTAGTCCACCCTACAAACTCGGTTCGTTAATGGTTGTAGGGTTAAAGAGGATGAATTTCAAGGAAGACTGGATTGAAAAGTTATTCAGTTTACTTGAAGCGAAGCTTGTGGTTAAAAGTAGATCTTCAGCTAATGCTGATGACAAACAAGAACGTTCAACGACTAGAAGATAAAATTTATCTACGATAATAATCTTCCTATGCTTTAGTACAGCATGTCCCTTTTCCCTATTAGGGAGCCGGCGGAACTGGGACTTTTATTTTGAAAAAAACAATAAAGCTGTATAAATAGTTAGAGTATCCTCCGTTAATTAAATTAGGTTTTTATTTTTATAGGCGAAGCCTTGTCTAGAGTTGATCAAAAAGAAAACCTATTCCGAATAACGAAGACATAGTCTGAACCATATCGATAGATATGGAATTAAAGAATAAAATCTTTAATTAACATTATTGAAAGTTAATAAGAGCTCTACAATGTCAGCTTTCCCTAGGGATTATTTGAATGGTAGACCTAAATTAAAAAAATATACTTGCTCATTTTCATTTTTCCTTAAGGATTGTTTGAATAATAGAGCTCAATTCAGCAGCGAAGCTGCTGAACACTGTTCATTTATTACAGGCATAGAAACCAACAAAATTATATCACAGTTATTATCAACAAGGCCTATATTAATAAAAATGCATAATATTATAGTTAGTCCCTTTAGAAGACGTTTTTCTTCATATAAGCTAGAAGACCTTGTTAAAAATTCAGCAAACTCAAATATTAGACTTAACCCTTGATGAGTCTCAGGTTTCGTGGATGCTGAGGGTTGCTTTTCCATTAGTATTACGAAAGATAAAAACCGTAAGACTGGTTGAGATGTTAAACCATTGTTTAATATTAGCTTACATATTAGAGATCTCTATTTATTAGAAAACATTAAAAATCACTTAGGTGTTGGTAAAATATATAAACAAGGCCGACAGTCAGTTCAGATTCAAGTTGGATCAGTTAAAGAAATCGCCAAAGTAATTGAGTATTTTTCTAATTACCCTTTAATTACAAAAAAATGGGCGGATTACGAACTTTAAAAAAAAATCATTAATCTTATGCTAAATAAACAACATCTAACTGAAGATGGATTACATAAAATCGTGGCTCTCAAGGCCTCAATGAATTTAGGTCTTCCAACGTCGTTACAAGATGTTTTTAACAAAGTAACTCCAGTGAAGAGGCCTTTAGTTAAAAATCAAATTATCCGTGATCCTAATTGATTAGCTGGATTCACATCTGGGGATGGATGTTTCATGGTTCGGATATTTAAATCTGCTGAAACTAGACTAGGATTTGCTGTGAAATTAGAATTTATAATTACTCAACACTGTAGAGAAGAACAACTGATGACAAGCTTAATTAAATATTTTAATTGTGGGTATATTTATAAAAATAATACAGATGTCCTTGATTTTAAAGTAACAAAATTTGCTGATTTAGAAAATATAATTATCCCATTCTTTAAAAAACACAGAATACTTGGAATTAAGTCTAAAGATTTTGAGGATTGATATCTCGTAGCAGAATTGATGAAAAACGCCAAACATTTAACTAAAGAAGGATTAGAGCAAATTAAACTAATCAAAGCTGGAATGAATCGAGGTAGAAAATTGGACTAGTTTGTATTTATTAATATGTGGTATAATTGAGGGGGTTCGAACCTGAACAGGGCAAATCAACCGTACTATATCGCAGTTATTATCAATAAGGCCTACATTAAATCTTTCATTACTTGGCTTGCCTTGCAGGGAGAGTTACACTACCGTATTTAAGCCTACCTTTTTAGTAAGAGGATTTAGTTCATTATCAGCAGGAAGAACTGCTGAAAGTGGGCAAGGAAGAGAAACTTCTTATATGAGAAATTTTTATGTATGATTAAGTGGTTTTACGGATGCTGAGGGGTGTTTCTTTATTGCTATTAGTAAGAGTTGTGCCTTTAGGTTTCAGATTAATTTACATAAGGATG